TGAATTAAAATTACTGCTGCATGAAACTATTGCATGGATAGTGTCCATCTTTTATTCTGAAGAAAATCAATTACATTTAAACCACAAAAAGATTTTCAAAATATGCAAAAAAGAATTTACATGTATAAGTCTTCTGCATATAAATAGTTTACTGGCAATAAACTTTGATGTGTTTTTTTTTAAATATATAGTCAGTACAACTAAAATATAATAAATACACAATTAGCTTAAACTTCTTTTTAAGCAAACATAGAATCACTTTAGATGCAGACACAGATATTACATCAATCGGAACATGTCGACAATGTTTCATAATTACACGTAGTCTTATCCGAAGAATGACGGAAAAGGCCGAAAAGTTAGACTATCAATATTCAAATATCTAGAAAAATATCAAATAAAATATTACAGCATGTTTAGGACACAACCAATATTTTATTACAATCTCATTCATCATAACATTTAAAAATCTAAACTTGTCTCTTCTCAAATACATCAACAACCTCGATTATTTTCATAATAACTAATGACTAGCCTTATGTTTCAAAAAACGAATACTATGTATTGTGGAAATGAAACACTAACAAATCAATATTATGTAAAGTGATTGTCAAGATATGAAGTATTTCACCTGTCTATGGTATCTATGTTAATATTCATAAACATATAATAGGTTCTCAAGACTTCTTCACATTTATGTATTGTAAGAATGAATTTTAATTTTTCAATAACAGGATATCTTGGCTGTTATGTAGACTCTAACTCCAGAATTCTAAGTGAAAAAAATACAAGCGACAACAAGATGACGACGGAACTTTGTCTTGCATTCTGCAAAGGTCATGGACTAAAATATGCTCTAACTCAGGTTTGTTATCAATGCATCAACTTTTATCGGTATCGTAAATCTAAACAGTTTACACAAACTTCTTTTAAGTTTTGCAAATGGACTAACACAAGTTGCTATAATATAGATATTAGTACATTTCATTAACGTTCACAACTGTTTTAACGTTTAAACGTTTCTCGAGTAATGTTCTAGAATTCTTTAATTTATGGACATATATAACCCTACGTTTTGATAGTTATGAAAAATAACTATGACTAACAGTTTCTTTTTTTTGCTTTATTGTAAATTATACTCTCTAATTCCTTTCGATTTTTGTATATCATGAAAATTCCGGGTTATTTTTTCTGTGTGCAGTACTTTAAGTAATGTTTCGTTTCGTCTTGTTCCTTTTGCAGTATTCTTCGCAGTGTTTCTGTGGAAACAGTTTAGGAAATGTACAGAAAGCACCCGACAGCGAATGTAGCTATGATTGTAAAGGTGCTACAAGTGAGAAATGTGGAGGGTTTTGGAGAGGGTCATTATACCTTGTTGTTTAAATGGTGAGTTTTATGTTGCACTTTCAAGTTTTGAGTGGTTAAAATATGTTTCAGATATGCTTATGTTTAAGAATTGTATTCTTGTCTGCTTGTCTCCTAAATGTTTGCATATTAATTCAGTCGCTTTTTCTTTTATTTAAACAATATTTTAATCATACAATATTTAGAAAATACACAAAAATTGATGGGCAGTTATATATATTAACTGCAAAAGTAAGAGAAAATACAGGCGTATCTAATTGAATGCAGATTTGTGTCATGTTAGGAATTAAAAGGTTTCGTGAGACTTTATTTGGATACTCAAGCCTGAATCATTTTCACAACATTATGTAATAAAGAATGTTTTCTTTTTCAGTGCACCCATACAAGAAGGAAAATGCGCGGTTGGATACTACTAGTATACCTATGGACTGAATTCTAGCTTTAAATGTTTTCATTTATATTACTTTATGTAAAAAACATATTATTGTTCGTAAATGAATAAAATGTCTATCAAATAGAACTTGAATTTCTTGTACTTGATTTCATCATTGAATGTCATCTTGTAGCGAAGAGCTTTTATTACAGAAAGTTCAAAATTTCACATAATCATTTCATATACACCAAAGGATATTTATTTAAGTTGTTACCTGACTAGAAATAATTTCTCTGTTACCTACAATGTTTGTTACATGTATTTGCATTGTGTAAGCCAAGAAAATCATGACATATAATTAATGTAATAAGGAAGTTTTGTGTATTCGGCACAAGAGGGAGTGTGCTGAGCGGTAATAGAATGAGAACCCAGATATATAATGAATGTCTCTTCGTAATATTGCGGCGCATTTATTTACATAAATTGTTGATACAAATTCGTAGCATTTGGTCAGTGAATATCGAAATACAGTTACCTTATGATACTGATTTTAAGTAGAAAAGAAGACATATTACAAAATGGTTTACTCTTTAACGTCGTATCAAATAGTAGAATCATCAATGTCCATTAACAATCTTGGATGTTTGTATTTAAGGATGTAACAACACATAAGTGAAACTTTATATATGTTCATAACTATTCTTCCAAAACAATTTCCAAACATCGAAGAATACGTTAAATATAAACTAAAAAAGTGTATATGCATTATCATTAAACTCAAAAATATATGCATTTCTTATTAAAACATTTGGCTTAGACTTTATCGAAATTAAATTTCTAATTACCTCCCTTTATTTACATGAAACGTAAATTCGGTAATATCTTTACAAATGATACTCTTTGGATCTTACAAAATTGATAAATATTCATTTGAGTATCACATTCATGATATAAAAACATAACAAAATGAGTTCCACGATGTTTGGAACGTCCTGTGAAGTCAAGGCTGCTTTAGCTTGTACATGTATTGTACTTTTTTGAATGATTGCAATATATAAGTTGTAAAGCTTTATTGTTGAAAATAGTCATAGCAAACTTTTGTGAAGGTTATTTGAAAGATCATTGTACCTAGGTAGTTGTTAAAATGAGGGCAGATTGAAGAAGAAACAACTCTGCTACATGAACATTCAGATATATAACCCGCCTAATTTAATCAAGTGTGACATCGTAAATTTACAGACACGTGTAATTGACAGTCTTAGAATATTAAACTTTATGAAAAGTAAATCGTAACATTTCTTTAATCATTGCGATTATAAAAATACAAACATTTCAAAGATTTTGTTGCAAGTTTTTATATTGTATTTATAGTGAATGCAACAATCAAACATGTCATATAAGTAAATTTTCTGAATATATTTACGAGGACACAAAGTGCTAGACCTATAACAAATTCATCAAATAATTTACCACTGACATATGACTATAACAAAATCAATTTAACAATAAATAATGCTGTCCAAGGATTAGATAAATTGCATTTATTATATATACATGTTTTCCACATGACATTTAGAAATGCATGTATCATAGGCAAAATTCGATCCGACAGAAACTACATCTATGTCACTATCCAGTGTTATCTGGACTGACGTTAGGTATATCTATCAGGTTTATTGTTTAATCCGATAAGATAAATAGATAAAATATTATTAAAGGAGTACTTTGTTTTACTTGTACTTGTATTGGGCTCTTATTTATTCTACTTGAATGAATCACGCTCTGCGTTTCTGCATATAGCCTAGTAAAATCAAATATTTACAAGTATAGCCTAGTAAAATCAAATATTTACAAGTATAGTCTAGTAAAATCAAATATTTACAAGTTCCAGAGCAATGTACTCCTATAATAACTCTTTTATTTAGAACAAAAACACAGAGAAAAACCTCCAGCTGAATAGATATATGAACGAGAATGTACCATAAAGTTTACTCTTATGCTCAAATATATATATACAAAAGGGAAATACCCTCGGTTGTGTCTGAATGTAAATGTTTAGTTAAAAGTCGTACAATTCACATATTTATACCTCGATGGCCGATTTAGCTCGACAATTCGAAGAGGAGGGAAAGAGACAATTATTGTACTCATCCAGGCGTTGGAGTCGGCGTCACACTTCTGTTCAGTTTGTGCACGTTTGTATCACAAAAATAACTATAGAAAATGGGTTGAAACATCACATTTTTGTTTGAGAGCATACTAGGAGGTCCATATCATAGGTCCATAGCTCCAACAAGACATGCATTTGACAAATTTATGGCATTATTAGAACTTCAAAACCTGTACATCATCCAGGCTTTTGTTTAACTATCACGCACTTAGGCTGATTGTAACAGATTTTTTAAATCTGAAAAACACATTGAAAACGAAGACAATGCAAACACATAGCACCTAAAACACAATTAATGTCAATATTTTAAAATAAAGGCCAACGTTTGAGTAAGAGCAGTTATCAAGGCAATAAGAATGCTTCCGCCGATTTCAAGCTTTATTCGGGTAATCTTTTCAGATAATTAACTTTTAGTTAGTTAATAATTATTAACAAACAAAAAATCCCAAAATTTTTTTTATTTTCCTTAATTTCTTTCTAATAAACATTCAAAATTAAAATAATAAAATTCTTTAAATCACTTTAAACAAAATTTTAGAAATATATTTTGTTTACTTCCAATTGAATCAAATCATTTTTTTATAACTTTATAGGGTTTTTTTTTTTCCCCGGAAATTTTTTTCGGTTTTATGGTTTTTTTATTTTTTTTTTAAATTTCCCCAAAAAAAATTTTAAAAAAATTGAAAAAAATAAATAAAAAAACCGGAAAAGAAAATTTTTAAAAACTAAATTTTTTTTTTTGTATTTATCTGTAAAATTTTTTAGAAAAAAGCTTTTTTCCTTAAAAAATCCCCAACCTAAAAAAATTAAAAATAAAATTTCATTTAAAAAAAAATTTTGTTGAATTAAGGGGTACGAAAAATTTTTAAACATTTTATTTTATAAAAACTTTCAATGTAGGGCATATTTAATTCCAATTTGAAAAATTGTTTTGGGTGGGTTCTAAAATTTTGGACAACTTTCTTGAAAATTTCCAAAAATTATATTTTTTTTTATCAAAGAAAAAAATAACCCCCGAAGTTTTTTTTTTAAAAACGGGAAAATTTTTTTGGGAAAATATTTTTCCGTAAACCCTTTTTTTGTTAAAAAAACCTTTTATAAGAAGGGGTTTTTTGTGTTTTCTTTTTTTTTTTTTTAAATTTTTTTTCATTTAAAAAATAAGAAGAAGGAAGAAAATAAAAAAATGGAATTTTTTTAATAAAACCTTTTTTGGGTTCTTGGAATTTTTTAAATTTTTTCTTTTTTTTTTAAAAACTTTTTTTATTGTTTTTGTTTTTTTTTCCTTTTTTTTCTTTTTTTTATTTTTTTCTTTTTTTTCTTTTTTTTTTTGCTTTCCGAAAAAAAAAAAATTAAAAATTGTTCTTAAAAAAGGACAATTTAATTGTTTGGGAAAAACAAAACGTTTTAAAAAACCCCCCCAATTTTTAAAACTTTTTTAAAAAAAAATTTGGTTTTTTTTTTAAAAAAAAATTTTTTTAAAATCCCAAAAAAAAAATTTTTTTTTTTTATTTTGGTTTTTTTTTTAAGTTAACATTAAGGGAAATTTTTTTTTTTTTAAAAATTTTTTCTTTCCAAAAAAAAAAATGGGGCCCAAAAGAAAACAAATAAAATCGCGATAATCTAGTTTAATTATTCATTGCGTTGATATTATTTTGATTTTTTTAGATGTAAATTTAATCTGCTAGTCATATTATTCTAATCATTCATCAAACGGGAAGAATACAATTAAAAGGTGGAAAATACATCAAGTGAACACTTCTTAAAGTGCAGAACGATAACGTCGTAACCTTTTGTGTTTATATTTATATGTTTTGAAAGAAAACATTTCAGCATTATATTAAGTAATTTAATCTTTCCATGAAAGTGTCACGTAAATATTGGAGAGAAATACGGAGAAAAAACAAGGCACACAATTTAATTAATTGCGATTGTTTTCAGTAATAACGGTATGACTTATTAGATTATTTTACCCATAATATTTTTAAGATATGATTAATACCATCAGATAACTCTTCAAAATCTCTTAAAAACTTTTTTGGACTGTTTTATGGATATTATTATCGATTATTCATATTTGCGCACAATTTAAAATTATTGCAATATTTCAGTACAGTAACAAATGTTTTTATGATTCAACATTAAGACCACACACAAAAGAAACCTAGATAAGAATGTGGTTGCAATTGTTGTAGAAACTCAGACCAGAAATGTGGCATATCATTGTATATTTCACATAGTAAGTGATCACATTCGTATGTATACTTCTAAGCATACGAAATCAACCCTTGTATATTGTATTAAACAAATAAACCCTCTAATATAAAAATCGTAAACATGCATAATAATATCAATTTGGTCAGCATGATCATATTTCAAACTGTCAAAATCAAAATCGTAGCTTTTGAAAAAAAAGTGTTTTAGTCGTTTATAGTCGAAGATTGAAAATTGCCAATGCTGTTGCTTGAGTGGCCAGTAATAATATTGCACCAATCCTTGTATCTCATATCTTTCGGGCATATAAATACATCATTTCTTCTTTCCTGTCTCTTACTAACTCATTATTATTATTTTTATCATCATCATCATTCTTTAAAAGACAGTGCCTAATTTATTTGATTTGGACGTGATACATTTGGCAATTAGGATACAGGAACATAACAGTTTGACTGTTTACTGCCTTTTTTAACTTTAAACACAGCAGGGTTAAATTTTAACGTTGAGCAAATGTTACATGAAATCAACCGAGAAGACGGTTCATTTTTTAGCTTGACTTTTGACAACAGTCAGACTGATATATGATCATTGTTATTTTAAATTTATCAACCACTTCTAAAAAAAATACAATTAACGGAAAACCATGACGTCATTACCCTTGATTTTTATAATTAAGCACTCTCGGTTGAATTATGTTTAACATAAAAAATAATTATCGTAAAAATTCTTCTTCAAAA